GGGCGACAAAGACTCTGTCTCAAAAAAAAAAAAAAAAAAAGAGACTTAGACATAGACTAGAACTATTCCTTTAACTATCTTAGTGAAAGCTCGGTTGACTCTATCCAAGTCCTCTCAATTACATAACTTGGGAAGTCAGTTTCACTGATTGCTTTACATTAGCCACAGATTCAATAAGGTCTAAGTAGAGGAAGTTGAACTTATAAGTTAACTCACCACAGACATCTCAAGTTGCACAGTGGTTTGCTCAAAGCCTCGCACAGGACCTTCACTCCGGTAACTCCTATGTGATTCAGTCCAAGATCCAAGCACGACAGGCTTGATTTTTCTTGGAGGAGCTTTGCGAGACTGCAGCAGCCATCGCTCGTGATGTCGCAGTTCCACAGCCTAGAAATCAACCACAGGAAAAAAGCAAGCCCGAACCTGTGAGTTCTCACTGGTGTGAGGCACCTTCGACTCTGAGCCGTGGGTTTTAGACACGCTTAGAGACAATGGTGACCTGGAAATGGAATCATGTGGCGTGGTGGACAGAAGAATGGCCTCCCCAAGATGTCCAAGTCCCAACTCCTGGCACCTGTGAGCAAAAGGGACCTCGTATCTTAGATGTGACTGAGCTTAAGATGCTTTATATCCTGGTTTATTTGGGTAGGTCCAGAAATCACAGGAATCCTCGTAAGAGGGAGCTGAGAGTCAAAGCCAGCGGGAGGTGACGTGATAAGGGAGCCAGAGCAATGTTTGAAGATGCTCTGCTGAAGCTGGAGGAAGGGCCACAAGCCAAGGAATGCAGGTGGCCAACAGAAGCTGGAGAAGTAAAAAGGATCCTCAGCAGGCACGGTGCTCACTTCAACCTCCGCTTCCTGGGTTCACGCGATTCTCATGCCCCAGTCTTCCGAATATCTGGGATTACAGGCACACGCACACGTGTTTTGTGTGTGTGTGTGTGTGTGTGTGTGTGTGTGTGTACCACCACACCCAGCTAAGTTCTGTATTTTTAGTAGAGACAGGGTTTCACCACGTTGGCCAGGCTGGTCTCAAACTCCCGGCCTCAGATGATCTGCCCATCCTGGCCTCCCTAATGTGCTGGGATTACAATTCTATTTCCTAAATTCAGTTGCTAGAGAGGTAGTGTCTTACAGGCAAAAGACGCCAGCTCAGACTCCAACGTATCTGGTAGTAGGATCTGAGATACCAACCAACACAGCTTATCAGATTTCACCTTAAGTTCTGTTTTCTTTCTTCTGTCTCAATAGACTTCTAACCTTAACTATAATTTGAACTATAATGCCCACATATCTTTGGGTCCCAAGCAAAGTATACCACTAGCTGAGGGACACAGGACCTGGAAGGGCCATGGAAATAGAGGGCAGATTGGAGCCCATGACGACAGAGGAGTGAAAACATACCCCCAAATCTTAAAGGTTTGTGAATGTACAGAAACTTCTTTTTTCTAAGACAGTCTCGCTCTGACGCCCAGGTTGGAGTACAGGAGCACAGTCTTGGCTCACTGCAACCTCCGCCTCCTGGGTTCAAGCAATTCTCTGCCTCCCCCTCCCAAGTAGCTGGGATTACAGACATCCGACACCACGCCTGGCTAATTTTGTATTTTTAGTAAAGATGGGGTTTCACGTATTAGCCAGGTTGGTCTTGAACTCCTGACCTCATGATCCACCTGCTTCAGCCTCCCAAAGTGCTGGGATTACAGGCGTGAGCCACCGTACCTAGCCTTCTAGAAACTTCCATGACTGTGTGATGGAGGAAAACCCACATAAGACTAAAGGGAAATTGACAACTTAGCAAAATAGGGGCATGGATCAAAAAGTTGAATTGAGGGGACCGGCACGATGGCTCACGCCTGTAATCCCAGCACTGTGGGAGGCTGAGGTGGGCGCATCACCTGAGGTCAGCAGTTCGAGACCAGCCTGACCAACGTGGTGAAACTTCGTCTCTACTAAAAACACAGAAGTTAGCTAGGCGTGGTGGTGTGCACCTTAATCCCTGGGAGGCCGAGGCAGGAGAATCGCTTGAACTCAGGAGGTGGAGGTTGCAGTGAGCTGAGATGGCACCACTGCACTCCAGCCTGGACGACTGAGCAAGACTATCTCCAAAAAAACCCAAAAACCAACAAAAAGGCCGGGCGCGGCAGCTCACGCCTGTAATCACAGCACTTGGGGAGGCCGAG